TTTCTTGTTGGTGATTCTTTCCGATCATCGCTTTAAAATAATACTTCCTTATTAATTTGTTTATTAGATATATCATACAGTTATGAAACAGTATTATTTACTGGATGACTAAATTTCGAATACAATTTATTGTTCATAATCATTGCATCAATTATAATCACACGACTTCGAAATTTGAGTTATAGTTTTCGTTGTTCTCTCCTATTTATCGTCGTTGCGGTAGTAGAATTTTCCAGATATCAGACTGGACAGGTGTTGAATCATTCCTATTACACGTGTTTGCAGTTGATTCGACAAACATGGCTCCTGCTATCATTCTCTCTCTTCACCCTGTGACATTAGATTTTAAAACTGTCACCTTATGCCATCCTATTGTTTGGTTGTGTGTAATTGTATGTAGTGTGGTGCTACAGCTACACTATTCTCCAGATTTCTCATCTTTTTCGGGTTGACTAAATAGTGTCAAGGAAGATCTAAGATATGGTGTGAGGCATATAAGAGAAGCTTTGAAACTTAATAATTACCCTGGTAAATTAATCAGAAAGTATGTAGGAAAATGTAAAAATAAAATTAATAATATTAATGATGACATGCATGTCAAATATGCACAGGATAGTGACAACGTCAATAATAAGGAATTTAAATCATCATTCGCACCTCCACAGAAAGAAGGAACTTCGGAAACCCTACGTGGAATTCCTAATAATACAGGAAAGAATAAAAGCGGCTGGTATTGAAACCACCCAAAAGCTCAATTAGAAACAAGCTTTGTCGGTTAAAGGATCCTGTGGGCCGACTGAACAAAACAATTTAGTTTATATTATACCTTGCTGCAATGATTGTTAGGTCAAGTACATAGGTCAAAGTAGTAGAATAGGGGCAGTCAGACTACCTGAACATAAAAACCTAGCAAAATCTAGATTAGTTGGCACGATTAAAATAAAAAAATGTGGAGAATAGCTCAGCTATAGAACTTACTACATGCAATTACACACAATAGGATGGGATAAAATGACAGTTTTAAAATCTGAACAAGGCATTAAGAAGACAAATTTCGCGAGATGATATCGTCATTTCGTAGTTTCTTTACAACCGCTTTACAACTAACATGGTTAACAATGATAAAATAAAGATCATGACAGTTACTCAGTTAAATAAAAACAAAAGTACATACTTATGACCAATCATATTTAGATAGGTCATGCAGTCCAGGGTAGGCAAAGATTGAAGTCTATTCATTTTTGTACACACAGTTTAGGCTGTATGTGATTAATCCAAAGTGCTTCCATCACCTTCAATAACCTTGAATTAGAGTTATGTGAAATAATTGTGAAACAGTCATTAATATTTATTTTGTGACCAAATCTAATGTCACAGGGTGAAGAGAGAGAATGATAGCAGGAGCCATGTTTGTCGAATCAACTGCAAACACGTGTAATAGGAATGATTCAACACCTGTCCAGTCTGATATCTGGAAAATTCTACTACCGCAACGACGATAAATAGGAGAGAACAACGAAAACTATAACTCAAATTTCGAAGTCGTGTGATTATAATTGATGCAATGATTATGTATATTAAATATTCCCATAGTAAAATTTAGAACAACACATTTAAGCGAACAATATTGTTTTCAATTAGATCTCATCAGGCTTAACTCTAATATATATAAGTTTACAAATAAAAAATTCATATATAAACCAATCATGGTGTTTTGTCTATAGGATAATACGATGGTGAATATAAATTGTGCAGTTAGTCATAATAGTGGTAATGATAATATTAATAATAGTAATAATAATAATAATGGTCTTATCAATAATAAGGATGAAAAAATGAGGCAATCTGTGATAACACGAATAATGAAAAACAGTATGATTAAACAAACAATTGTTCAGGTGGAAGTAGTCGATAAAGGCTAGTAAAAACAAATGAACCGATTACGTAATGTTAGATTGTAGGGGAAGGAAATGAAACACGTTTATAATGAATATAAGATAAGATTAAGGGATGATAAGAAAGGGGTTGGAAATATAAATAAAGGGTGGTGTAGAAGTCTTTCGTTGGTTATGTCTTATTAGGCCACGGGAGGGATAATGGCTGCACTAACTTCTTTTGAATGCATAGTTTAGGTTCAATAGTTCGAATGCCTATCGCCTCAGCTGTGTGCAGTAGACGGATACGAAGTCTATTAGAAAGATTCGGAGGGATACGATGAATTACTTTGAAGGCTTTCGTTTTATCGACTACATGACCACTATCAATTAGATGTGACAGAATTGAGCTTCGGATTGTTTTTGTCTGTCCTTTGCCAAACCACGATGGGAGATGTTCACGGTGACAGTTATATTGGGCGTACTACTAGACAGCTTAGCCAACGTGTTAGTGAACATCTCCCATCGTGGTTTGGCAAAGGACAGACAAAAACAATCCGTAGCTCAATTCTGTCACATCTAATTGATAGTGGTCATGTAGTCGATAAAACGAAAGCCTTCAAAGTAATTCATCGTATCCCTCCGAATCTTTCTAATAGACTTCGTATCCGTCTACTGCACACAGCTGAGGCGATAGGCATTCGAACTATTGAACCTAAACTATGCATTCAAAAGAAGTTAGTGCAGCCATTATCCCTCCCGTGGCCTAATAAGACATAACCAACGAAAGACTTCTACACCACCCTTTATTTATATTTCCAACCCCTTTCTTATCATCCCTTAATCTTATCTTATATTCATTATAAACGTGTTTCATTTCCTTCCCCTACAATCTAACATTACGTAATCGGTTCATTTTTTTTACTAGCCTTTATCGAATACTTCCACCTGAACAATTGTTTGTTTAATCATACTGTTTTTCATTATTCGTGTTATCACAGATTGCCTCATTTTTTCATCCTTATTATTGATAAGACCATTATTATTATTATTACTATTATTAATATTATCATTACCACTATTATGACTAACTGCAATGATTATGAACAATAGAGAATTGTATTCGAAATTTAGTCATCCAGTAAATAATACTGTTTCATAACTGTATGATATATCTAATAAACAAAATAATATGGAATTGCTTACTACCACAGTACCCAAGTTTTACACATACTTTAAAATTATACTAAGGTCATTTCTTTTTACTCTTAGCTTTGGATTCTGTGCTTTGAAGAAATTTTGTTGACAGTCGTTCGTTTGGATCCAACCTAACTCAGTATATTCTTCCGTGTGTGTGTGTGTGTGTGTGTGTATTAGAGGTTTTCTTCTCAACTGAATGTTCTTCATTAATTCTGGCTTTCAAATGGTCCGTCATTGTAGACTGAGCTTCTCTGATGCTTGTCTACTGATGTGTCACTGTCTATCATAGTTTGCATTGCAAAGGTTATTGCTTTTGAGTTGGATATCGACAACAACCGTTGACGGGGGTTGGGGTGAAATATCCTCAGTCTTTATTTGCAAGCTGAATCACAATATTGGCGTATTTCTGTTCTTGTGAGCTCTATCGTATGTCTTTCTAGATAAAACTTCCAGTACAGACATCAGTATGAAGGTTTTAAGAATTCTTTATGATCGCATGAAGGATTTAATCATGAGCTGACATCAGTTAGAGAACCACTGGAAAACCTGAGAGTACTGGACAGCTGTTTCGTCCTAGTTTGGGACTATTCAGCAGTACGCACCCGCCGGGATTCGAACCCAGGGCCTTCTGATTACAAGGCGAGCTCGTAGACCATTGAGCCACTGGGGCCCGAACCAATGGTCCTTGAATTCTAACTTCTACCAGTTCACGACATAGCGCGACAACTTCGCAATGTCTTCTTCGATGAGTTACTGCCTCATCTTCAACCTGCTGTACCCTACTGGTCACGGCTTCCCACTAGAACCCCAGGTTAACTGCCTGAATACGGCCAGTCACTAGTGAGCATCAGATTAATTTTCAAGTGATTAATGAATAAATCCTCCATGCAATCAAACAAAATCCCTACAAAACCAATACTTGAAAATTCTTTATCACTTAACTAGCTGTTACCCTTGATGACCTTGAATATAATTGGTTGTGCGGAGAGATTTTCTCACCCTCTTACACATTTCTCTCGGTGTATTGACCTGTGTTTTCTGCTGTTGACCTGTTATTGTTGACCTTTTGTCCATCTATGTGACTTCGTTTCGATTGTTTGATAAACCTGATATCTATGTCCATTATATGTCTGCTAGTTGTCGATTCGTCTGAGTAACAGGTTTCTAAGAATTCTGAGGCAGTTTTGGTGTCCATGAATTGGCCATTTCTCCAGTCGAATCAGTGTCTGCTTTTGTGGACGCATGCTCTTGATACGAGGAAGTAGATAACACGTCTTTTAACGACTAGTGCGTTTTTGTATATGTAAAAACGAAAAGGACGTCCATTTTACTGCAGTTTACCTTATAAGATGATGTTTGTTTTTATGTTTCATCATTAAGGAACATCAAAATTAAAGAATCATTTCTAAACTGACTCAGTATTTTTTATCCCTTTTGACTGAATAAGCTGCAGCATACAACTTTTCATAGGGGTGTGCAGGAATCCAAGTTGCCCTGCTCTCCATGTAGCACTCAGCGAGAAGAGAAAGAGATTCAAAAGAAAGGGACTTACAAGGAAAAGAACCGTAGCACATAGGTAACACATAATGGGAGATCTGAGAACAATGGTTTTCTTTTTTTTAACTCTTTTTGCTTTCCAAATAGAATTATAGGAGCTTCAAGCCTGGTCTTTGAAGTTTCAAAGGCATAGGTGTTCTATCTTTTTACGGAATGAGGTTGCTAGTTTCCCGTTCAACCTTTCTCTCTTTCCTGGGTGTATTACCGACTTAGTGTGAGGTTTTGGAGTGAGTCGGTCGGCCAGGGGTCGAACCTTGGACAGTCGGCGAGCCTTCTACCGCTAGACAGCATACGACTTTATTCAATATTTTTATTAAAATAAAAACGAGTGAAACGTAGAATTTCTGTTTCTTTGTTTGTTTCCTTTAGGCAATCCTACCCTCAAAGTTATCCTCCTCAACAAATTGCAAATACCCATGTGAAAATCAACGACTTGCCTAAATCAACCATACCAATGAATGAAGCTATTCCAAAATCAAGTGGATCACATTCATCGCCCAATTTCATATATGATGCAAGCAAACTCAATCAACCGATTGCTGCTCATCATCACCATCATCATTCTGCAGCTGCTCTTTTATCTAATCAACAAATCGATCAATTACAAAGTAGGGCATTGCAAAGTACTTCTACTGCTACTACTACTACTGGTCGGATTGGATTGAATATAAATCCAGCGTTGAGTGCAGCTGCAGCTTGCCTACTGTTTCCTCCACAACCTCCTCCAGCTCATCAATCGAAATGTTCTAGCCTACCGCCACAAAAAGAACGTGTTGATGGAAGAAATACTGGCAGTATACCTGCTGCACATTCTAATAACAATTTCTAAGATGTTTTATATCTGTGTATGTGTTTATTAAGATTTCAGGTATGTTTGTGTGTGTGTGCGTGTATGTGTATCATTCGTTTTGCATAGTTTTCTCCTATTTTTTCGGTGTTCCTGTATCATCCTTATTTACCATGTGTTGGTTCTGCTGCAGGGATTTGATTGGTTAAAGGTCTAATCATGAGTCGATATCAGTTAGGGAATCAATGGAAAACCTTGTGAATACTGGACATATATTTCGTCCTGGTCTGAGACTCTTCATCAATTCCCCTTCCTTATATTGGGAGGCACATCCATCTCATGAGTCCCTGGACTCTACGGCTAGTTACTACCCACCAGTTGATTTCATATTGAGACCAAATTATATTGTCTAACCAACAGTTTTATTATGCACGCTCCTCTTCTACATGTTTCTAGGCAGAAATCAATTTGAGCGATGAATGTCTTTGATGTTAAACAAACAGACGCTTGTTGCATTTGTGTTACAATTGGAGCAAACTTTTAGTCATTGGGATGAAGTATACACGTGATCACAGAGTCTAGGTCTCCTTGTTCACTTAAAAAATACAACTGGAGAATGTTGATTTCAATCCTGTCATAATTTGAGATTATTATTATTATTATTATAATACACCACACGGAATTCCATAAGTTAGCGCGAGGACACTGGGATATTTTGCCCAGACCGAAGCATATGGTTATCATAACCTGGCAACTGTCTTCCACGCCTGAGCCTTTAACTTGAAATCTAAATCACAAGACAGTGAAACCCCGTTCTCATGGATCCCGTTGTCCAAAACAGATGTAATGCGTAGTTCACTTTTTTCGAATTTCGGAGCCCAAGTCTACTTCATAGTTTCAGGATTTCCCGGCTTTCGTAGGTAGACCTGCTGGATCACCGCTAGTCTGATTGTGTGCGCACCATACCTTCACTTTTGTGTGTATGAGGTAATGATGGTTAGTTTGTGGTGACCATGATCCGCCGTCTGTAAGTGAGGTCACAAAAGCTATCAGTAATTTGAAACGAGGCAAAGCGGCAGGACCCGACGGAATTATTCCGGAGGTGTTTAAATATGGGGGTGACATACTAGTTTGTAGATTAACTGAGGTACTAGGCAAAGTCTGGGAATCAGAGACAGTGCCATCAGACTGGGTTAAGTCACTTATTATAGCGATATTCAAGAAGGGAAACAAGTCCTCGTGTGATAATCATAGGGGGATCAGCCTAACGAACATAGTCTCTAAAATCCTAGGCTCAGTAATCATGCATAGACTAAGCAGAACTCGGGAGGAACAGACAAGGGAAAATCAAGCAGGCTTTAGACCAGGTAGAGGGTGCATAGATCATATCTCCACTCTTCGACAGATTCTAGAACATAGACGCACTTTTCGGCGTCCAACAATTGTCATATTTCTTGACTTGAAGGCGGCCTTCGACTCCGTGGATCGAAAGGTACTACGGCAATGTCTGACTGTGAAGGGAGTACCAAGAAAGTACATTGCACTAATCAAGGGAATCTATTCAAACTCACGTAGCCGTGTAAGAGCTTATGGGGAATGGTCATCTGAATTGGTAACAACCAGTGGTGTCTGACAGGGATGTCCACTTTCCCCATTTCTGTTTAACTTCATCATAGATATCCTGATGGAAGTATCCTTAACTGAACGTAATGACTTAGGAATCGACTTGTTATCAGGGAATAGTCTTATGGACTTAGAATATGCAGATGACATAGTCCCGTTAGGGGAGGATGGTGACAAAATGCAGAGTCTTCTGAACACCTTGAGCAGCAATCTTCGTATGTTTGGCATGCGAGTGGTGGCCAAACAAAAACATGGCCTCATCAATCCATGAAATCCTTGACAGTTAAACTGAGTCAGTCAGGTAGGGAGATGCAGACTCCCGGGTTGGGGCCCTCGGGACTCTAGGAATCGATGGCTGGAGACAATAGGTGACATGGCTCAAAACCGTTGTCAATGGCCAGCGCAGATGTATTCAGTCTCTGTAATCTTTCATATTCCTTTTTATCATTATCCATTCTGTTTCACTCTTATACTTGTCAGACTGTATTGATTCTCTTCACTGATCTTCTTGTCTACCTCTGTGTGCTATTTGGAAGGTGGCAACTCGAACTGCTGCACTTCGGTGCCAAGTTCTATGTTGAATCCAGACAGAGACAGACAAACTAACCTCTATTTGATTTTAGATTTTTAAATTGATAAAATGCTTATGGCCAACCTAAAAATAAATGACGACTACGAAGTGTAACCACGCACGCACCAATAGCCTTGAACGCATGTCATTCGTTGGATTACATAACCTGCTGCGTTATTATAGATCCAGTACGAATTGATGTGTAGATTTCATCCTTATGTCGTTTAAATTACTGTTTGGTGTGTGAACTGATAGCACTTTGGATTTTGGGTTAAGGGTCAGCATTAGGATATGAGTTAGGTGTTTTATTATTATTGTCTGTACTTTCCTTGTAAATAAATATATACACGGGAGGCGAGCGTTTCGTTGTTCCTACGGATAAAATCTTTTTGATGTTTAGGAAACTTGAAAACTGTTAACCTTCAGCATTACCTCAAGGCCAAATGTCGTCTTTATTGTGTTTCATTGCAAACTGACACCAATCCTCCAACGAAAGCTGAAGTCTTGAATGCAATCAAGCTTCTGAAAGTTGGAGAAGCAACTGGACCAGATGGAATACCCCCTGAAGCACTGAAAGCGGACCTAGAGACGACAGCAGACGTGCTGACTCCATTATTGCGAAAGGTCTGGAAGAAGGGAAAGGTGCCTACTGACTGGAGGAAAGGTTACATCGTGAATCCACCAAAGAAGGGCGACTTAGGACTCTGCAAGAACTGGCTGGGAATCATGCTCCTTTCGATGCCAAATAAAATCCTGAGTCGCATCATCCTGGAGAGAATAAAGGCCGCACTGGATACAGAACTCCGACCAGAACAAGCTGGATTCTGGAAAGGCAAATCATGTTCTGACCAAATTACAACTCTACGCATCGTCATCACAGAACAAAGCATGGAATGCCAATCAAACTTCTACCTCAACTTTACAGACTTTGAGAAGGCCTTCGACAGCGTTGACCGCGGAGTAATTTGGAAATTACTTGAGTACTATGGCGTGCAGCGCCCAAATATTCATCAACCTTATTCAACAGCTGTACGACAACAGCGGAACATGTCAACTGATCCACAACGGAAAACTCAGCGAGGCGTTTGGAGTAAACACAGGAGTCAGACAAGGATGCTTATTATCACCAATGAATGATATTCCTAATTGTGGTGGACTGACTGGATTATGCGTCAGACAGTGAATGGGAAACGAGAAGACAGGGATATCTATCCTGGACCGACGTGAAGAATCTAGAAGACCTGGATTTCGCACGTGGATGATTCATGTTTGATGTCATACAAAATCGAAGACTTACAAGCAAAAACCGACCGACAAACTGGTCGAAGAAGCAGCTGGCGAAGACAGGACTCCAGGTGAACATAGACAAGACGGAGGTGATGAAAATAACCAACCAACAGCAGCAACATCAAGCGTCAATCACCATCAACGGGAGGCATTTGAAAGAGCTTAGTTACTTCATTCACTTATCTAGGGAGCATTGTCTCAACTACATGCATTCGGAACGGACGAGGATATCAAATCGAGCGAGAATCGGGAAGGCGAGAAACGCATTCATCAACCTGAAATCAATCTGGAAATCTTCGTCACTCAGCATTACTAACAAAATTCGGATTTTCAATATAAACGTAAAGTCAGTTCTTCTATACGGATCAAAAACTTGGCGGGCGAGCGGGTCACAAAGAATATTTCCAACAGCCTGTTGCAGACGTTCCCTTTATTAACAACTGTCTTCGCTCTATACAGAAGATCAGATGGCCGGCCGGAAAGAATCACCAACAAGAAACTATGGGAACAAACAAACAAAACAAGAACCAATCGCCAACCAAGAAATATGCAGGAGAAAGTGGATGGAGATGGATTGTACACTCGCTGAGGAGGCCACTTGGTAACATCGCGCGCGCATCAGGCCATTGCTCGAGTGGACCCAGGCCGAAAGAGGAGCGGTGAGTGGGACGTCAGTGCCAGGGTGACATGGAGGAGATCGTGTGAAGGAGGAGTTGAAACAGTCAGTATGGACTAACATGGATGCAGTTGAAAAGTACTGCAGAAGACAGAAGTAGCAATTGGAGACGTGCAGTTGAAGCCCTGTGTCCCACTAGGAACCCAAGGGAACAATAATATATAATAATTATGCTTCACTATTACAGTTATGTTAATATTTCTCATATACATAAACGGCTTTTTTGATGTAGGATACACTTCAGGTTCTGTGGTCATCCAATAAATGGTATGCGTGTCAAGGTTATTTGATGCGTTCACAATCCATTGTTGTCACTATTCTTTATGTCGGTCATGTCAATCTTATATGACTCTACGCATAAATTCTGCTTTCCTTATTTTCCCTATTTATTTTCTCATTTACTTTCAGATGAACTCAATTTTTGCGAAACCCCCCGTGTGTGTTATCTCGCTGAGCATCCACTGTTTATAACTAATTCAAGAACACTGCCGCCAACAACAACAAAGATATGCATTTAGACACGAACACTCTACACACTGAGATTAAATACTCTCCTCTCTCACATAATTAATTATCGTCTCTTTTAGGATAAAATAAAAAGATCAATAAAGAAGAGCCTTAGTTCTGTTAAATGAGGCCCCCCTCAACCCCCCCCCCGCAAATAAAAATAATCAACTAATCATGTATGTGACACATTCTTATACCATGTAATGATAATGATACTAGCGGTAATCAATTTTTATCTCTGTGTGTGTGTGTGTATACAATGCAACAAGCGGGATTTCATCTTTGTATGCTTGTGTCTGTCTGTGTGTCTGCCTGCTTCTCCACCACTCTTTTGTAATCTTTTGTCCGTATCTCTTGCCGCCATTTTCCTTTGTGTGT